CATTGAATTTTGCATAGCTTTACTTTCCCAAAAGGTATTTTCATCCAGGTCGGACTGAAGTTTTGACCTCACCTGGGTCTAATCAACATCCCCTGCAGGAATCGAACTCGAGTAGTGCGGTGCATACTTATGACATCTTATCACTACGCCATATTTCCACAACTTCTCTTGCCAGGCCTTTCCCATCAACTTGTATTTGCTGTGGTAATCGACCATATTACTTATATACACATTGAGTAGAAGGCCGAAGCTACCACTAGATCTTGAACAAGAGCCATAAGGTGATGAAGGAGCTACAATTAAATTTTCCCACAAGGATACCTGCAGGCCTCAAGTTACCATTAGATTTCACATCGTCTTGCTTCCAGAAAGTATTATTAATCAATGTAGACTGAAATTCCGACTTTGTCTAGGTCCATAAGCCCAGAGGGACTCGAAAGCGGCTAATGTATCCTACAATCTCGACATATTATCACTGCACCAGACTGCCAAGAGTAACCCAGAGCCGCATGTCAAAACAAACCAGTATTTGCTTTTACATTTAACTACATACGTTTTAGTGCGATTGAGTATGTTTCGAAAGTATCATTGTGATAAAATTAACCTATCATACTTTTCTCATCTAGGGTCAAAACAGCACTTATTTAAGCTCTACTTAACATCATAAATGGTGTCTTTTATTGTCACCTAAAATAAAAGTTTTCTTCGTCTAAAATTCAACTATACAAAGTGATATAGCATATGAAATTCACGTCTGCTCTCTAATCCAAAGGCACTCATGGTGGTGTGGCATAGTGTTACTATTCCAAGACCATATGCGGCAGCACCACGGTTAGATTTCCAGTTGTAGAGCTGGTAAAACATGGGCTAGGCTGCAACTGCTATACACTCTGACAGAATATATTTTGGAAGTAAGGCTATATGAAGTCTTTCTAATTCAACTATTAGTACTTCACTACTCTATGTGATCTAGGGTAAATACAAATCTTATTCAAAATTAGAGTATGTTCTTAAGGCAAACACGAAGTTATTCTAAAGATATTCTGAGTTGTTCACATGAACTTATTTTAGCCTTGTTATAAAGTTCCCATTTTCTTGAGTTTTCTAGAATATATGCAACCCTATCTAAAACACTGCATTTTATACGGCCTGTATTGTGATGGCTCAATGTGAAACACGGTGACTAGAACAGGGGCTCGTAGTAATTTATCTATGATAAATTAAGCAAAGATTCGCTTAAAATCATAAGTCAACAAATTATGACTTGCTGGTTTCTTTGCTCTCTTCTTGCCTTAAATGGTCTGGTTTCAGACATTTAAGAAAACGATTGAAACTAGCGTACATAATCAAACCATTTCTGAGTATAAGCAGGTTTTGACATTATCAGTAATTCATGAATAAGAACTTGATCATCCTAAGTAGCTTAAGGATATGTAAGCACTGAAAGACCAAATTTTCCCACACTGAGCTAAGTAGACCTCACTATGCCAGCGAATTTCTATTGAACTTCCCACCAAAAAGGCTAAATCATCCAGACTGGATTGTAGGTTTCACTTTGCCTGGGTATCACCAGAATCCTCAAAGCGATTATACACCGACTAATTGCCATTGAGTCACAGGCGTGATGAGCCAGGCCTCGCCCGAATCACATTTTAAAGTGGAATAGTCAACTATGCAAAATTGTATTTTCTATTGAATTAAATGACTTTAAGTATTTTCAGTAAAGTAAGTTTTGAGACTATCAATGATGCTTGAATAAAAACTTAGCATAGATAGCTTAAAATGATTTAAGGATGGATAGTTGAATGTCCCACGACGAGAGCACCTTAGATGGCTATGACTAAATTTTAATTCAATAAAGGTGCAACCTGCTGGTCGCTATGGTCTCCACTTACCTGAAGCAGTCCCATTGAGTCGAAACATACGCGGACCTGACCGTCTGAAGTGAGATAAGCCTTTCTATTCGGCTCTATATGAGCATTCCAACAGGCCTGTCTTCCAAAAAAGATTGGATTTAGTGTTGTCTGCAATTGCCGAAGGCTGGGCAACTGGAGCCTCTCAGAGGTTGTCTGAGCAAACTGTACTCGTCGAGACGCCAAGTCTGAGGGTGCATCTCCTTCTTGCAAGGTGACTGCAATTGGAATTAAGGCGTCGTTGTTCGTCTCGTAATTAGCACCCTCGGAGCCAACAGCCCCTGAATAGGCCAACTGACTTACTGGCGATAGACTGCTAGCCGAGGCATGATTGTGTGCCGGAGGACCGCCGAAAGGACAAACGCCGGAGGTTCGGAAGGGCTGACAGAGTGGCCATTTACACCAGTCCTGACGACGCTTGCTACGTCGTCTGACACGCACAGAACCGGTCGTCATGGCAACAGCTGGGCTGGCGGAGATAGATCGACTAACCTCGACTTCATAAATCGGCTTTTG